CTTATCACCCATGACAAACACAATCTTCATCATTACTTATTTACTTATCTATACCAGAAAACAGGGTGTCTCACAAATCCACAAGGCAATTTTACCATTATATTGCTCCATATCATGATAGTGATATGCCTTGAAGTATATTTAAAAAGTCTCAGTATTATTTTGAACAAAATGTACAGTTGTTGGATCATGTAAATGCTCTGATTGATGAAAGCATCCACAGAAGGTCTGAGGTTTGGCCGGGATGCTGACGGCATGCAATGAAAAATTTTGTGATTTGTTAAAAAGCTCATTTGCATATTGCAGCCAATCACAAAGGCTGGTGTTGCAATAACAATAAGCAACCAATATACTGCGTAGCACCAGTATCTAGTAGCTAGCAAGCAATATCTCACTGAATGAGTGAGTGACAGACAACATCAACAAAACACAACATAGTTTAGTAGTTTTGAACTCAACATGACCACCAAACTAGACACAGAGCACAGGCTGGAGCTCCACACTGTTCAGAGGGCACTGTCCGTACGCAAAGCAAACACAGGCCTATTTGCATGGTGGGGCCTGTAGCCTCACACACACTGTTTACAGCAGTGGAAATTGGCAGAATCCTCAAAACAGGCCTCATAACACAAAACAGACGGGAGAAATAAGCCAAGGTTTTGAAGAATTGTTTGGATTGTTTGTCCACTGACTCCACTTTTTTCTCTCTCTCTTTAGCCTACAAGCACTCTGGGTTTTGTCATTTCATCATTTGTTTCTTAGTACTTAAGATATTCTTCACTGGAAAAATGCAAAGGCTCTGGGAATCTTCTGCACATCCCAGCTTGTCTGCAAGAAGAGCAACACTTCACCATTTCGAGCAAAAAGGAGATTCATCTCTTAACATTCTACATTTTAGTTTGCTGACTTAAAATAACTCAGTAATTTGTTAATTACCCACTTAAAATACCAGGCTTATTCATACTACGGCTTATTATTCAGTAATACAGGAACTCCAGTGCAAACTAGTTGAGCTATTCTTGGGTTATAGAAGTGTGTAATAAGGCTTTGGGCCTGCTTGCAGGCCCCTGGCCTTTTATGCGGTTAAACAAAACCATTTATTTAGCAGTTTCTTTAGTACTGTTTAAGGCCTTTAATGTCAAAGATGAGTTCAGATGATTCATATATTCAAATAACCAAGCTCATCCTGAATGTGTGTTCTGTATCTGTGTTCTCTTTGGACTGCAATCATGCCCATATGGTGAAATGGAGTAAACAGAGAAATGGAAAAATAAACACTTGTTTTATTGATTTTTTTGAAGTAGGTTTGGTATTGGTTGGTGTTTCTGACAGAAATGAAAAAGCAACTGTGGTTCTTTAAGAATAACCCCAATTTGTTAGTAATTACGTAATTACCATATAATAAATGTTAAAATGCAATAAGCCTGGGATTTTAAGTGTTTCAAAATTCATATTTTGAGGGGTTAACATTAATAATCACGTGTATTTAAACTCTAATGCTGGTTAGAAAGCTGTGCTAGATGGATTTTTTGTTGCCTGGCCCTTTTTACTCGTTCACGCAGAAAATCCCACAGATTTGCCCAGATTTGCATCTACACACTGCGCCTCTGCCAGCACTACAGTCATCTAGTTCTATTACTATCTTCTAGACCCATTAAACAATACAGTAAGCATTAAGTGTTCTTTGCCCTGTTCATCTCCAAGTTCTGTTTAAATTCGATTAAAGAACTTATATTATGGAATAATAATCCACTTGCATAAAGAATGAGAAAGTCAAAGGAAATTATGAAAAACAAAAAATTTAAGTTTACGATCATTTAAAAAAAGATTAAAAGATCTAGATAAAAATGACAGCCGTACAAGGCCTGGTAGACCACCAAAACTGTCCTCATTGGATAAAAAGCACTGAAATCTTTCATCTTTGAGAGAGAGGAGAAAATCAAGCTGCTTCAGGTCTGAAAACATGCACAGGTGTTTCTGTCCATCCTTTCACTGTGTGAAGACAACTCAGTGAAATGGGTCTGAAAGGATGTGTAGCTGCCAAGAAGACCTCAGTGAGAATTTGCAAAAACAAAGAAGGTGCTGCTGTTCTCAAAACAATAGCCTGACCACCCCAGAGTCCAGATCTCGACATCGCTGAATGTGTTTGGGATTACTGTGATCATGAGAAGCAGAAATTGCAACCAACTTCAAAGACTGAACTTTGGAGGTGTGGAAAAATATCCCTGCAGAATTCTTCAAAAAACTGAAAGCAAAGCTTATTGATATGTCATTTTGTATTACAATATCTACCATGAATCCAGCTATTAGCAGTATATTAGTGAGTAATCCCTCTGTAATAACTTATAATATGCCTAGAATATTTTTAGGAATGAACATGTAGAATTTGGTGAATGCAGATGTCTGAAATTTTGGTTCTGAATGTGGAGAAACTTGGATTTTTGAGTGAGATCTCAGAAAACATGCATCATTTTTGTGAATGCTGTTGCTGGTTTAAAGGAAATAGCTGGAGTACTGTTAGAAATTGTTAGATTAAACTGTGAAGAGTTTAACATTTTCATGATTACCCAAAAGTCTGAAAAATGATTGACAGCACCAAAATTGTCATTACTGCCTGTAGCGTCTTGTCTTAAACACAGGGCCATCACTCACCGTCACAGGCTGAGGTGTGTAAGAACGCTCCTGTAGTCATCTCTCTCACAGGATGAATAAACGAGTCCTATTCCTGTGTTGTATTCGTGTGATCTGTCGGTGCCAAAGCCCTGTAGGTGTGCATGCATGCTGGTGCACATTAACTCACTATTATCTCAACGCTGGATGATCTTTTGAATGTAAAGCCACCTGCCTTCCACACAGCTCAGAGAGAATCATTCTGAACTGTCTGCTCTTATAGAGGTCAAAGGTTCATTTTGAAGATTGCCCAGGAGTTTGAGGACTGAATCCACTTCCTGTCCTCATGTCTGGAGGCTTTTTGCCTTATTTTTGCTGTCAACTTATGAATTGTGACAAGTTATTACACATTGGCACAAAAATAAGGCAGCAAGCTGTGAAAAAACCAATCATCTACTTAACACCACATTCCTAATGTGCCCTGAAAAGTGATAGTGTTTATTCTTTGAGTAAATCGCTGCTGTTGGAACAAACCCTCGTAACTCCTTTTGTCATTTTTCAGTTTTAATCAAATCTGAAAATGCCTATTGCCCTGTACATCGTGTGTAAATTTTCTTCTGTAAAATTCTCATTTTGGAGAATGTGAGGTTTTGTTTCAACAGCAGTCAGAAAGTGGGGTGGGGGGGCACTCCAAAGACTCTTGTGCCCAAGGGCCTCAAGAGACCGTGATCTGTCCTTATGTGTTTTCTGCTTTTTGCCTAATGCTGAAAGATCAATGACTTATACTTAACTGCCATTTTCACTAGGAAACCAATAAATGGAAGCGTGGTCTCAGAGCTGAGTAGTAACTGGTTAAATTTACTCAAGTACATGTACTTAAGTAAAATACTGGTGGATTTGTACTCTCCTGAGTCTTTTTGAATAAGAATCCTTCACTTCTACTCAAGTAGGCTGTACACTCTCAGAAACAAAGGTACTAAACAGTCACTGGGGCAGTACCTGTCCTAGTACTTAAGTAGTTTTTGACCCAATACTTGTGTACTTCTACTCAAACTGTTTTTAGGAAGGTGCTTTTACTTTTACTTGAGTTATTACTTTTACTTGAGTATGGGTTTAAGCTACTCTACCCTCATCTGGTGGAACCTTTTAGCTCAGCTATAGCTGCTTTTCTCGCATCTCACTCAGGAAACTTTTTTCTCAGAAGTAGACTAGTTTCTTGTAAATGTCGCTTGACATTCTACTTTTTACGAGGCTGAAATCAGCTTCCCATTCTCTAGCTTATTATTTGAATTTTCCCGTTCCACCTTAAATGGTGCCTGAGGTGCCAGAATGTAGCTAACAGTGTAGCTAACTGTTAACTGCTGCACCATTTAAGGTGGAACGTGAAAATTCGAACAAGAATTTTTAGCGTTTGACAGTTTCTCGTTGCAGATTAAACGTATCAGGAAACCACCTTGATAGCAAGAGGATAGTGGGTCACTGTCGGCCCGCTGATGGCAGAGCTGGTGGTCCACTGGCGTTTTGCTCAGCATTTTCTGGTTGGTCCACTGGTGGTTAAGCAGAGTTTTAGACAAAATTCATCGCTCATTTTCCACTCACAGTCCAATTAGCTCATTTTTCCTTCCCTCCTTTCTTTAGTTATACTTTGTAAATTAGTTTAGTAATTAATTTTAGTCCACCTCAGTGTCAGCAACATTTTCTATGAAATCATTTTATATCAGGCCTTGTCATTATTTTATTTCTCTCAGTTGTTTGTAATATTTATCTAAGTTCATTTTCCAAAATAAAACTCTGTGTGCATTTAAAATCTTTTTGGGGAGATTAAAAACTAGTTATTCCTTATATGCAGGACAGTAACCTGGGTGGTCCGAGGGTGTGCCAGTAGTGGCAAACAGTCAGCAGGGTGCCGACCTTACCAAGCCAGCGGACCAATATATGCTCGCTATCTGGGCGGTCAGAGTGCTTATAAATGCAAATTAGTCCAATTATCTTAAACCTCTCTCTTTGACTTTTTGTTAGCTACTAGCTAACTTAGGCGACACTGCTGTCTGTGTTGCTATGGCGACCGCGCCACTGTTCAGGGTTAAAGGGTGAATTAGCAGTTGGACATTAACTCCAGCGTTTAAGACCATTTATTATTAAAACTGTGTTAGGACGGACCTAAACATCTAATTCTGCTGCGGAGCCGCAACAGAGCAGTAAAAGAGCCGCATGTCCCGACCTCTGGTCTGTGTATCGATCAAGAAGGAAAACGGTGGAATCGCTCGATTCTAACATCAACACTGGTCTGCATGGCCCGTCATCAGGCAGCCATGCAGCCATCGGCCTGTAGGTGGCCTCCCGGCTCTGGTCCAGCTTTTACAGAGAGAGCGAGAGAGAGAGAGAGAGAATGTGTGTGTGAGACAGAGAGAGAGAGAGAGAGAGTACAGGACGGACGGGACTGCACACTGCAAAATCACAACCAGAGGATATCGCTCTCTCTCCCTCGGTGTGTGTGTTTCCTGCGAGGAAAGCAGATACCGTGAATATGTGTATTTAAGGCATGAAACACGCTGAGCTGCTTCTTGGTGAGTGCTACTGTATGTGTGTACCCTCGATATAGATCACTCCTGTAATGTGGAGGTGCGCGTATCTGTGTATATGAGCAGGCTGTGTGTGTGTGTGTGTATGTGTGTGTGCTCGGTTTGCAGTAGGCTGTGTTGTTGGTTAGCAGCCACAGCAGCACCATCTGAACCAACAGATCACATTTCACTTATTACATGCTAACAAAAGGCGCAGCGGAGCTAAACACGCTGTGGAGTAGAAAACAGAAGGAAGGCGTGCTTTCTGACCGCAAACGCTGCTGCGTTTGTCTCAGGAGGATTCACTTCAAGTCGAGGCATCTCGATTTTGCAGGACACAGCAGTGACCGCTGGTTTCTGGTGCTGCTGGGCTGGAATACAAGATGCAAATGTGGGTGAATTAGCTTTGTGGGCAAGTTTGGAGTTTGAAAATCACACGAGCAGCTGCCATTAGACATCCACGAGTGTCACTCTGTAACGTTAGTTGGTGCCCACGAAAACTTACGTTTACTAGAAATGCTGTTCTCAGTCTGTGCTAAAATGTAGAGCCCCTAAGGTCTAAGCACTGTTCAGTCGATGCTGCTAGTTGTAACGAGACTGAAGTTCGAATTTCCAGTTCCACCTTAAATGGCGCCGCAGCTACAGTGTAGCGACTGGGCTTCGGAATGTGAACGCTGCGCTGTTTAAGGTGGACTGGAAAATTCGACTTAAGAAGCCAACTTCAGCGTCGTTTAGTACCCGTACAGCAGAGTGCTGTTGCTTATGGCTAAAGTGTCCTACGTTCGTCTCGTATGAGTTTTGGCGTAGACTTTCAGTTCATCCTGGTAGCTGGTGTTATGGTGGCTTATGTAATTCGAGCTGTGATGCGTGTGTGTGCACTGAAGTACTGAACAGGGCACTAACAGGCTTTGCTACACTTCAGGAGCTACAAGCACAGTGTACAGAATGGGAGGAATAACCGTTTTGGAGGGACCATAACCTACATGAGGGGTCTCAAACTCAAATCGCGTGGGGGGTACTAGCCAGGTGGTCTTCTCCAAGGGGGGCTGGATGAAAAAATGCAGGGAAAAGTGCCTTTTTATGAGTATGAATCTACTACATGATGTATACACTTGTTAAAGTGCATCTTAGTCAGTGTTTGTTGGCTCTGTCACCATAGACCACCACCACCACCATTACTACACTCTCAGAAAGAAAGGTATGAAACTGTCACCGGGGCAGGCCCCCCTCTTGTCACTGAGGTGGTACCCTCAAGGGTACATGTCTGTACATTTAGTCAGGGAACATAATTGTGCCATAATCCGTTGAAATTGTATTTTCTAAGTTGTACTGACTCCACACACCCCGTCTCGTCTCCAGGCTTTTTATTTTATTGTTCTGTTTTAAACCATTAGGTTCTGGAAAGGTACAAATATGTATTTTTCACCTGGAAAAACTTTAAAAACTTAAGGTACACAACTGGAACCACATTTACATTGTTTGTACCTTGATGAACGAAGAATGTCCCTGCACAGAACCCGTATTTATAACAGTGTACTACTTCTAATTGCAATAATTATTATAATAATAGTAATAATTAGGCAAATATTAGGCCATTCATGAGATGAGTCAGATGTATTAGAGCAGGAAAAAATTAAAAAGTTTAGTGCATGGCATTTTATCAGCACGAGAACTTTGTCTAGTAGTAGTTCAAGGCTATTGGACTTGTGGTTAAAGCTGTTACGATACCAGAACTTTAACAACACTGATAACCTGTGTGTTACAAAAACGATATCATGGCAAAAAAAGGAAAATGAAAAACAGCCAGCCCAACAAATTATTATTTAAATAAAAAACTCATGCGGCTTGTGAGCAGCTTCAGTGCTATAATCGAGATATCAGAGTTCATCCCTAGCAATGCCCCCATCCATCTGTGGCCAGGGTGTAATTGGCCTAAGTCCTCCTGGGTGGGTGAGATGGGTTATGGGGTGAGATCTAACTAGTGGATTGAATTGTGTGACCAAATTGGGGAAAAAATGGGCAAAAATCAAGAAAAAAAGAAGAACTGTAATGAAGATTAAGGCTAACATAACACGGTAATGCTAAATATTCTGACTTAGTTATTTTATTTTAACAAAATGAGCAGAATGTCTTCGGGTGAAGAAGAATATCCTTTTTGTGCCTCACAGAATGAGTGAACACTGCTATTGGCTGGGCTACTTTTTCCTAAAAACTGAATGTGCTTTCACATATCTGAAGCCCGTATCCCAGTTTGGGTTGTTTTGATTGTGCTAGTGCCTCCACAGGACAAAGCAGAAGGAAAACTAATCCTTTTGGATCTATAGAACCTTTATCAGTAAGTTTTAATTGCTGGGACACAACCAATCCATCGTCTAGGTTTTCAAAACGCCAAAGCCAGCAGTGATTGTTTGAGCGAATTCATATTGGCTTCGAAAGTTTGCAGAAATCAAATAGAGGACGCCTAAAGTAAAAAATCTAACTCAAATAACTACAAACAACTACAAACAAACCTCCTTTGTGTTTAGTGTGCGAGATGTAATGAGATACATGGGTTCATATTCATTTATTAATGTCCCAATAAATCATACAAATATATACCATTCAGCATGTAAGAAGGCCTTTAGTGTGTTGAATTGGTGCAGTGTGGTGTCACCAATCATTTCATTTAACACAGTATATAAACAGTGCAAGGCATTGTCCCCAAAGACATTTTGGGGACACCAGAATATGGAATATGTGTCCTGATATGGACAGCGGAGCGCTTGCCATGCCTCGATTTCCTTTCGCATGGCCTAAGAAGCTGGCTTAGTTGTTCAGCTGCATCAGACAACATTGTGGTTGAGGCTTAATTCACAAAACCGTATGGTAGTTAAGTGTGAATTCCAGCAGTGTCTGTCAGTCAGTGGCAATGAGTGTATGGGATGCGTGTGTAAAACACATGACTTGAGAAATTTGATGAAGCTGAAACTGGCTTCTTGTTCAAATTTCCTGTTCCACCTTAAGTGGAGAGCAGAAGATTTGAGCAAAAAGATGCCAAATAAGAAACCAGGGTTTTGTGAAACAATATTTAGTACAGTTATTGTTTATTTAATACGTTAAACTCAGCAAATAAATAGAAATCGTGCAATAATATTTGCAGAAAATGCCATATTTAAGTTTGTTTCCTGTATACATATATACAGAAACCATTAATTAATTATTAATTACGCTGTGATGTAATTTTTCTTTATATGCAACTCGACATGCAAAGTAATCTTGAAGACGTTTTGCGTTTATGAGCGGCTTCATCAGACTCAATGATCTAGATGTCTGAAAGCCCTCATAGACATTGGGGGCTTTATTTTCCACACTGGCTCCATGTTCTGGATGTTTTGGGGGAGGATCTCCGAGATGCTCTGAGATGCTCTCATTAGGCCTTTGAAAGTTAAAGCAGCTGCAAGTGATCTGTGTCCTTTTGCTGACGGTGTAACTTAGTGGTCTGTTAAAGCCAGGGGAGCTTTTTCCTGCTTCGTTCTAGCCTTGCAATGACAGCGACCTGCTATGTTTACCCATAACACTCAACATATGCCGCTCTCTTGTCCAGATCTAATCATGTGTTCTTGTTCTCTCTCTCTGTTTGTACGGACAGACTCAGCTTGCTCAAAGATGCAGAGTTCTTGGTGCTCAGCAAGATTCTATTATTGACCATCTGCTTAAGTGGGTGTCTTGGATCTTTTAGTCACACCCAGTGTGTATTCAGAGCAAGTTGGTGCCATTAGCTCTGCACGCTGGCTTAAATGCTGGACCTGGCTGAGGAGAGCAGCACTGCAACACCAGGAGGAAGCCACACAGGTAATGTGACCTCTCCAAGAACACTAAGCTTTCATGTGTTTTGATGGCCTGGTTTGTTTTACATGTTTGGAAGGCTAGAGTGGACTTAGACCGCTGAGTAGAGCTAGAACTTAGACCGTTGTGCTTCTGATTCTATTAGACCTTTAGAAGTTAAACAATTAAAGGAGGAAAACATATCAAATATTTATTGCAGTTCCATACTGATTATTTTTCGGAGCTCATTGAAATTGAAGAAATTACAGTTTGTCGAACGTACAGATTCTAAAATTTCTCAACATTCGATACGTGATTGCATTTGTCAGTAGAAGAGAATATATTTTTATTCAGATTTGAATTAGATGAAAAATGATTAGGCATACAGTCATACAGTCAGAGACCTTATAAAGGAGGAGGAGACCAAGAGCCAATTGACTTGCTGGTAAAGTCACTAGTGGGAAGAGCCCTGCCTTATCGTGAAGACGTGCATGTGCAATAACCAAAACAACCTGAAAAAAAAACATTTTTGGTGTGTCATTTAAGCCTCAATGCAAAAAAAAAGGTTAAAGGGAATCAGTCATGCTTTCGAGTAGTCATAATCCACGTAACAGTCCTCTACATAAACATTCAGAACAAAAAGTCATGACATTTTGCTGCATAGTTACAGAGAGATTGAACGATTTTATTCCAGAATCTACAAAGCTCGATTCCTACATCTCCCAGAGTTATTCTGCGCCATGGCCATACCCCCTCATCTACCATGAGTTCAGTCAAAATAGTACTACTGTTGTTAAATTGCTGTGTTTTCTGTGAAATTCGTAAACATATTTACGTTGTTGAGGAATGATCAGTTAATGAGTACTTGGCTCTTGTAAATAACCTAAACACAAATCAGAAACACAGCAGTAGATGTAGTGAAAACAGATGAGTTCAAAACAGGTTTTTTCAAGAAAGATTTAAAAATTTGACTTTTTGGAGATCCAGTCCAAACTAGAGTTTGACAGACATCACCAAAAGGGGAAAACAAGCGCTGAAGGTAGGCCGTCAGTAAATGACCCGTGACCCAGAAGGATAAGCGGTTTAGATAATGTGCGTGTACTGCTTGCTTTATAACATTACAATGTGTTTATCTCAGCAAAGCTGCTGGAAATAAACAGAGCCAAAATCATAAGTTAAACTCTTAGACTTGAGTAGTTGTCTTCCCCTCACGCTTTAGGCTAGCCTGCTGTTTGTGCCGTTATTATCTTTGTCATATGGTTTCATGGTTGTTTCAGAATCAAATGTTTTATATTCTCCAGCTATCAACTCTGAAAATGTAAACTCACTGCGAGACTCTGTCATATCAGAGATATATACTCTGCTCCATCAGCCACTGTGGCTACATCTGTATCCCTGGTTGGATGTGTTTGAAGGGGGTTTAATGGGAGATGGTTAGTGGTGGTTGTGGACAGACTGTTTCTGTTTAAGAGTCTGAAGGGTTTGAGTGAGTGAATGGGAGTGTAGGCCGTGCACACTATACAGCCGCGGTGATTCTCGGGAGCTGTATTTTCTCTCTATTTGAAACATGCCCAAAGTCGTCACTGCTGTGTTTTACCTCTGGCATCATCTGATATTCCAAAATAGCCAAACGTGACTGACTCCCTTTAAGCGATCTTTGTTTGATTTTTACCAGTGATTTCAAATATGTTTGAAATGTTTATGTGGCTTTTAGTTTGAGGTTTATAGGTCTCTCCCCATTCAAAGAGATAGGAGACTAGTCCTGTAATAACTGTAATAACAATTGGAAGTAACTGCCTGGGGGCATTGCCAAGATGGCCACCAAGTGGGCACACTTTGCTAGAAGGACACTGGTACAGTCTTTTTTTTTGCAGAACAAAAAAGCTTCCTATTTCCATTTCTTGTTATTTGATACTAAAACAAACAAAAAAACAAAACAAACAAAAAAAGTGCAGATCCCGTCCTGTCAATGCTGCAAAATATGAATAACTATGTAACTAAGCTGTAATTAATTATGTGATTACATTTAAATAACTGTGAAGTGTAAACTGAATATATACAACAATGTTGACTCTACACTCTTAGCAAAAACAGTTCCATATAGTACCCAAAAGGGTTCTTTGGCTTTTAAGTGCAATAGTGGAACACTTTTTGGAGCTAACCCTTTCAAGAGGGTTCTATATAGAACTATCTACAGCACATTCTCCATCAATCTGAAGAACCCTTTCATGATACAGAACCAGTTAAACATGCACACGTTTCTTTAATTGTTCATGGTTCTATATAGAACCATTTTCTTTACTAAAGAACTCTTAAAGAACCATCTTTATTTAAGAGTGTAAACTTAAATATTCTTCATATTTAAAACCCAAGTCATTGCACACACAATTCACTACATAAGCTACATATATAACTAGTATTAATACTTAATTACATACTTATAGCAAAACAACAGTGATTATTTAGTGTAACAGCACTCACAGATCACTGCTTCTGTGAACTACGTTAGCAGTGCTCTGTGTAATCGTGCATCCTTGCCACCTCTGCTCTTCCTTTCTCGCAGGATGTCTTGGGTCAGTGGCTTTTTAGTCGCCCGAGCGGACGACCACAAAACGGCGTGGGGCGAGCGCAATGGCCGCAAGTGGCGGCGCAAGAGGGGCTCATCGCTCTGGAGCCCGCGCTACATGAGCTGTCTGCGCGACCCCGAGGGTGCGGATGGTCCGGCCCAGGCCGTCCAGCCCCACCCACATGGAGGGGGCGGAGCCAGCAGCAGCAACTTCAGCACACGATGTGTCTGGCAGGAGGACCACTATGTGGGATCCAGGGCGGTGGACCTGGCCTTTGAGGATGGCGAGTCCAAGAGGATGAAGGAGGAAGAGGGGGGTGAGGAAGGTGAGGAAGAGGAGAAGAGGGGGTTAGCGGCTAGGATTGTTTTAGGGTGCCTGAGGCAACTGGCCCATGTTTTCCAGTCCAAGCAGTTCCGGTCAGCCAAACTGGAGCGGCTCTATCAACGCTATTTCTTCAGACTGAACCAAAGCTCTTTGACCATGCTGATGGGAGTGCTGGTGCTTGTATGTGGGGTCATGTTGGCCTTTCACTGCGTCCATGGACATCCCAACGTGGCCTTTGTCTCAGTGCTCTCGGTGGCCATGGCCCTCTTCCTGGCCATGATGGTGGTCTGCAACCGCAACGGCTTCCACCAGGACTACATGTGGATTGTGAGTTACCTGGTGATGGCCGTGCTGGTAGTGGTGCAAGCGTTTGGGGTGTTCATGGTAGCCCCCCGCAGTGCCTCAGAAGGCGTCTGGTGGTCCATCTTCTTTGTCTACATCATCTATACGCTACTGCCGGTGCGCATGAGGGCGGCAGTGCTGAGTGGAGCCGTGCTCTCCTCTATCCACCTCATCACGGCCTGGAGACTCAACCTGGAGGACGACTTCCTCTGGAAACAGGTAAGGGACATGTCTGGGGAGAGACAATCATATTTAAAACCTCTCTAATAAGACCCGTATTGTTGTAGACAAGTGGTCTGTAGAACATTTCTGCAGCAGGCACAACCTCAACCTCATCCTTGTCTGGCATGCAAAGGTCTGTTTATCATTAGGCCTGATTACAGTTGTTTGTAATTGCCAATAATCAATTAGTTTTCATCTAACTGCTCTTTTCAATGTGTGTAGTGGTCCACTATGAGTGCTTAGTAGGTGTTTTTAGATGTTATTGTTGAGCATAACATTTTTAACCCCTTAAATAGGAGGTTTTCTCATGTAACCCAGGAATAACTGCCACCTGCAGTGGGGAAGCGGTTGTGTTTGCGTGAGTATGTTTGAAATAGGCTAAAATTCACACATTGTATTCCTGGTGGGAATATACCAAGACAGAGCGTTTAAAGTGACCGACAGCTTTGTGTCCAATTGTGACGGAGTCAGTAGCTCTTGTCTTTGTTAGCAGAGCTTCCTTCACTGCGTTTGTACATTAGCGCAGCACTGTAAACTCAGCTTACGTCACAGTGGGCATCGGAATGTTAGCGTAGGTGAATTTTTAGGAGTACGAGTAAATATCGGCCCGATACCCGATACCAGCATTGGTATCGATGCATCCCTACTTTTAATGCATCATAATATTTCTTAAAGGGCCAGTAACCCATATTTACATGCAAATGTGTTGGTCTTTGTGACATCACAAAAACACTGAATTCACAACCGATTGTTTTTGCAGTTTATTTTGCATATGTGAACTGTATCGACTCGGGAGTGAATGGTACTTTCTGAAATTTTACCAGTGTTTAAAAAAACCAAATCAAATTCTTATTTTAAAAAAGTGAGGAAAATTTGTTTTTTCAAATTTTGGTTTGGTTTGGTTTTTTAATTGGGCCCTTTAAAGAAACTTGAATTGCTAAAATGAATTGCTGTTAGTGTATAAAATCAAAGCATTCTTAATTTACAAAAAGTGCTTTTGAGTTGAATGGAAAACCAATGAATTGCAAATCTATTTGATTCACAATCAGCTCAGAGATTCACTATCAACGGTTAAGATCAGTGTATCTAACTCGGCCAGCTAGCACTGAGCTTCTCAAGTGCACTGTGGGCATGTTAACATGTTAAATCCAGTGACATTCTGTATGAAGCAAACATCAGACACCAAAAATGTCTTGGCTGATCGAGTACATTTGGGTATATATATATATATATATATGTATAGAGAGAGAGAGAGAGGGAGAGAGAGATTCCCTGCTGTAAATATTGTTAATTACGTTGTAGCGAGCCTTCTAATAGTGTCATTAAGTTACCCAGAGCTAATGTGCAGGAATGTTTTGACGTCCAAAGCAGTTCTTTGGAACATGTTTGTGTTACATAATCTTATCACTAAGTTCAGTAACCTTGAGTCGTGTACGTTATGTCAGTGTGTGTAAGTCAGTGACACACTTTACATTCTTTCCTCTTTTCAGTGCTAAAATTAATGCGGCTCCTCTCTCCGAGCTCAGTGGCTGTCGTACGGCAGTGCCAGCCGGCCTGTTTAGCAGACAACCTGGTGACAGATAATAGCATAATGCTGTTCGCTGTCTGCCTAGACAAAGCAGCTAGCAGTCCTAGCAAAAGGCGGGCTTAAAATTGGATGCACTAAAGAGAAAGTGGTCATGTTTTTATTTTATACATACTTATCTATTTCAGAGTTTCATACATAGTTTTTATTTTATATATAGTCCTGAGGGCGTTTTTGATAAATGCAGCTGACTCAAATGAATGGGTTGCTTGGTGACTTCTCTTCTAATCCACTTTATCTGCCCTAAATCTGCACTAAATCATCCACGTAATAATCACTCTCTCACTCGTCTGTAAGTGAGGAACTGGAGAAATCTTTAAAAGGTGCATGTTTGAGCAGAGCCCCACGAGGACCAATTAACTCGCATCTCCAGGTCTTACAGAAAGCAAAAAGAGAATGCTTCACTTTGATCTTAATTCTGTCTTAGAGGGCATGTATGATGGAAAACTGATTTTTTTTGGCTGTTTTTTAAAGTTTATGTACGCAAACGTTGTAAAAGTTTCAAAACGTATCAGTCCATAAGGTATATAAGGTATATATATATATATATATACACAAGCTGTTTTTGTTACTGTTTCTTTAAGACTGTTATATGTAAATGGTAAACGCGTTGTTTTTATGACATCACAAAGTCCGTTCATTGAAAGTCATTTGCTTTGGTAGTTTAGTCAATGTACATCTACTGGGGAATTTACGATAAATTTAAGATCGTTAGGAATGTTAGCGTACTGCACCAACCTCTTTTATTTAAAAAAAGGAAAAGAATATTTTTCCATGATATGGGCCCTTTAAAGGCACAGTCACAACAACAGTGAAAGTGAGGCTGAATGGTCAGCTAAAAATGAATTATGACTGGTTTTGGTACATAAAACCAGACACATCTAACAGTAAAATACCAGAACAGTGAGGCATATGGATCTATTCATTTTTTCATTCAAAACTCCATCCAGCACAAGTCCGTGTTTCGAGCCGTGATCGGTGGGCTCCAGTGCTGACGCTGTGCAGGTTAATGCTGGTTCAGTGAGCTTGTGCTTTAGCGGGTTTGTTCCTTGGAAAGCTGAGCCGTGGGCTCCTGCTTGGCACTCAGTATGGTGGGAATGGATCGAGATAATGGTTGCTGATTGACTGTCCCCATGCCCTGCAGCATGTGCTGGTAGATTTTCGTCATCGACATTTGGGATCAAGTTCAAACCCTGCAGGCAATCGATGCAGGGATTAAAGTCCACTGGCCGTTCCGATGTCATGCTCTCTATGGTTTTGGCCTTGGTGCTGGCAGGCCTGTGACCCAGTGCAGAACTCATAACGCGCAACACGGAAAGCGATGAGGTATCAACTCAGTCGGGGGCGTTTGGACAGTGCATGATTTGCAGTCCATGTGTTACCAGTGTGATCTTTTTGGATGATTCAGTGTTGTCCCAAAAACTCTCCATTCGGACAGTGTTGCTCTGATTGTGGTGGAAGTCCACACTATGGAAACATCTTTTTAGCTGTTAAGAGACTTAGTTCAGCAACCTACAATAAGCTCTGTGGATTTCCTGAAAATTGTGTTCTGTCATTTTTACTTATTTTAACAGTAAAGGCTAAAATGAATCAACTACTGTTTTTCATATTAGGTCTGACTGTGTTAGTGACCATCTGATATGGTCATTTTAATAACCAATAACATCGAGCGGTATCACTCTGATGTCACAATAAACTTTAAAATTAACATCAGAAACTCACAGTATTAAAAAAGTGTCTGAACTATCCAGAATTTTCTTTTTTTTTATTTGTTCTCTTCATAAAAGTAGTGTTTATTCTCATGCTAAAGGTTAGGCTGGGGTACAATTTACATGTTGTTATACTAACTATGATGATGATGGTGGTTTGTGTTCAAATTTAAACTGTCAGCACAATGTCAGCTGTGTTTCCGCCAATATAGATTAACCCGCTGGTCAAGACCGGCCAACATCATTGGTCATCCTATATGTCAGTTGGGCTCTCGACTGTATGCCAGAGTGTTCAGTGAAAATCTGAACACAAGCATCAGCCTAACTGGGACATTTTATTATTTTTATTAGCTAGTCTGAAAGAGGGATCGACTCAAATTTCCTATTGTTTTCTATGATTTCATGTCTCAGTCACCCTCTCCTTACTGTCTGTACACAGCTGCCCAGTACATCAGCCTAATCAGTTCTCTGTGACTCCGCTCTCCACTGCGTGATCAGTTTAGCTGGCATTCTGGCGGTTTTCAGGTCCAGCTTCCTCAGCGGAGCATTAGCTCCTCAGTTTGGTGTGTTTACAGGTTAAAAAGCCCTCTTACGCAGCGGTTTGGCAGTGAAAGAGAGGCTGTAAGAGTCCATTTGACTTAATGAAAAGGCATTCAGACGCTCATTCTTTCCCCTCGCCCACTAACTTTGTGAATATGAGGCCCTATTCAGGCCCATCCCAGACAGAGGGCCTGTCTGTCTGCATGTCTGTCTGTCTGCCTGTCTGTCTCTCTGTCTGTGTATGAGGGCAGCAGTGTGGCCATTCACCTCACAGTCGTCGTACAGCCGCAGGGGCAAATCTGAGAAGGCCACCTCATCTACTGAGAGATCGTCAATAAGCTCTTTCTCTCTCTCTCCCTCTCTCTCTCTCTCTCTCCTTATCTCTCTTTGTCTCTTTATCTTTTTCTCTTTCTTCTGTACCCATCTCCACCCTCCATTTCTCTCTGCCTCTCTCTCTCTCACTTTATTTTTCTTTTTATGGGTTTATCACTCTTCACTCTTTCCCTCTCTTTCTCCCTCTATCTGTCTCTCTCTCTTTCACCCTCCTTCTCTTTCTTTCGTTTTCTCCTTGTCTCTCTCTCTCTCTTTCTCTGTTTTTTCTTTCTGCCATTTTCTTGTGTTTTCCCCCTCTACCTCTTTTTCTACATCTGTCATTTTCCTTTCTCCCTCTTTCTGTTTTGTTGTCTCTTTCTCTCTTTCTTTAATTTTCTCCCTCTCTCCCTCTTTTTGCCTATCTTTCTCCCTCTCTTTCTTTTGTCCTTTTTCTCTCTTTTTCTTTCTTTTTTCTTTTTTCTCTTTCTGTATCTCCCTCTCTTTTTTCTCTTAATCTTCTGTCCTCTCTCCCTCGTTCTTTCTCTCTTTCATATGCATTTCAGTTTCTTACTCCTCTCTCTCTCTGCCTCTTGCCATTCACTCCCTCCCTCTTTCTCTCTGTTTTCTCTCTCTCACACTCTCTGCCTTGCCATTCAGTCTGTTTAGCGCTTCTCTCTCACTTTCTCTCTTTCCTACTTTTTTGGGTCTTCTCTCTCTCTCTCTCCATCTCTCTCTGCCACCCCTCTTCTTTTTCTGTTTCTCTTGCTGTTCTGCCTTTCTCTCTCTCTCTCTCTCTCTCTCTCTCTGGTTGAGGGTATAAGCAGTTCAGAGGTCGGATGTCTGCAGAGACA